TTAGTTGATGTAATAATGTAAGCCCAATGACCGAGATTGAATCTGGGCTAATCTGATAGTCACGATTGTATTTTATAATTGAATTTTAATATATTTTTCATAAATCGTCCCAGATGCAATCGGGGCCATTGAACGTTCACTGTAGTTGTTCGCTAGCAAGTTGACATCAGACTCTCCCATATATATATATATATATATGAGAAAATTTTTCAAAATGCATATAAGAGATGGAATGTTTAATAATTTACTCGTATCTTTTGATTTAATTTCAGAAATCCTATCAAACTACATGTCATCATCAGAGTTAAAAATGGGTAAAACATGTAATAGTTGACAATTTAGGTGTATTATGATAAGATATATATATAATTATTAGGCCTCAAGTACACACACTCTTACAATTTTAGCTCAATCCGATTTAGAAGAAAATGAATTAAAATTCACATACAAATACACTCTGTTGGGATCTATGAGTGAAATACTGTAGCACTTTGGCTATAGATATTTTTAAAATGGGATTGTATAATATGAGACTATTTAATTTTGATATAAAGAGGGTACAATCACTTTTAGCTATTGGATGTGGAGTCCAATTGATGAAAACATGTCACAACATTCGAGAAATTTTGTTTTGAAAATTTGTTTCATACGGGCTGGACCACATTTCTGCAATATGCCATAAAACATCCATCTTAAATATGGATGCAAATAGTTGGTCCATCTAAAAACAATTGTACCTTACACTATACGGACGACATGTATAATGTAGAGTTCCTTAGAGAAGCATGTGTAGGATATAGCATGGAACCTATTATTGAAAGATTGTCTGCTCCATCATCGTTTTATGGTATTGAGGTGGTGTTTCGTGGTGCGTGCATCAGGTATTATTCTCACGCAAGCATTCTGATCAATGTGCCGCTCAAGGCGTGCCCCCACCCAGCACCACTCACAACCGAGTACGTGGGGCGGGCCCTCAACAGGGGGAGCTTGTTTTGGTCACTGGGACTGAGGGCATTCTACTTCTCTTTCCCCCTCTTCTTGTGGATGTTTGGACCGATTCCAATGTTCCTCTCGTGTGTAATGTTGGTTTTCTTGTCCTACTTCCTTGATGTCTGCTTTGATCTCAGGGTGTGCAACATTGAGGAGGAGGAGGTTGTTGTTGTTGAAGAAAGGGACAGTATAGTTTAGGGACAACACCTTTCTGGATTCTGTCTCAATATTCAATCCAAGTTGAATCAGTTGAGATTGAGTTTCTTGTGTGTATTGTTTCGTTTGTTGTCATTTTATATTTACTTTCTATCGTTCTCGAAGAACAGGGCAGGCAATAGAGTATAGGGTTAATTATTATTTTTGATATGTCAATGGTGAGAATGGATGGTGGGACGTAAAGTTGAGGCATCAGCCCCCCAGCCACCGATGCCCCTGTGTCAGGATTCAACCCAAGTTGAATCGAGATAGGGCTTCTTGTGTGCAGCTTTATGTTTGTTGTCATTTTAGATTTCCCTTGTACTAGTCTCTAAGGGCTTCTTACTTAGCAATTGGTAAAAGGTAAATTTTAATATAAAATACAGTTTGAGTCTTGAGCATTGTTTGATCTCTCTCTCCGCGCCCACACACACACTCACAAAATGTATAGTGTATCTACCTTCTGCTAATGTCTAAAAGTTAAGTAGCATAACATTTCATACTTTTGGCAGTCTTTAACTATGAATTGATTTATTGGATTCAGCTTTTTATTTGGTGAAGTCTCTGATATCCCCTAATTCTTGTGGTTTTAAAAAGAATCTCCATATGTTACTATGCCGATGTCTTTTTTTTTTGTTTGTTTGGGGTAAGGTTTATATAAGGTTCCCAATGTACAAGGCATTTTTCTTTTGTTTTTTGCATGGTAAGGTTTATATAAGGTTCCCACTGTACAAGTAAGGCACACTTCTAAATTTCCCTAGAAGATGTAGTTCCAGTGAAACCTTACGACAGCTTGAAAATCCATGTTCAATCTTAATTATGTAATTTAAAATCCTGAAAATGGTGAAAGGAAATCTATAAACACTTGAAAATTTGTGAAAATAGATTGCCTAAATAATTTGTTGCAAGATGCACTATTTCTAAGATTTAAAACTCTTTGTTTTCTGTATTCATACATTTTAAGGTTGAAATGATTCTGCATAACATTTTTTTTTATTGTGACATTGCAATCTTATTTGATTTTTTTTTTTTGTGTTTTCTATCGTCCCCAGTATATGCCTCGGCTCTAAACTAATATTTGGCATGATATGCTACTCCCATGACATTTTCTTTGGGAATCTCTCCCTTAAAGAGTCCACAGATCTCACGTCTGTTTCTTGTATTTTTGGCTTTATATTAGTCAAGATACCTTTATTCCCACCTAATACAAGACATCACGGCATGCGCCTAATCATAAAAAATGACAAATCATGAGCTTATTCTGAGTTTTATTAGGAAATTCTTTCTTCACTAACGAGCTGCCAAAAAAAGATCATGCCAAAAAAAGCTGATAATTAGAAAGGAAAGAAGCTTCCAAAAGTGACGATATTATTTTTCACTAAAGAAATGCTTCGGAGTATTATATGTTTAACCAGCTATTTACATCTCAACACATGCAAATTATCAATACATTGCTACGCAGCCAAGAAAGGGAAGGATCCCTGACTTTGGATATTGAATTCGAAAACCCTTGATTGGGACAATCACAAGTTGTTAGTTTCAAATACTTTGAAGGGGAAGTATTTTGGATTTCTCCGCCATTTCTATCAGAGTGGTATTTCAAATCCTATAATTGGAAGTTGGTAACGGGGTCAAGGCATCGATGGTTGGCGATGGATGCTTCAACATCGCGTACTACCCTCCATTTTCACCATTAACATATCAAAAGAACAAAGAAAAAAGAAAAGGCTACAAATCGGAGGTAGCCAAGTCATGTGCAATTCCCCCAATTACTCTTAACTGGTTTGAAATGGAGGCGTGGCTCATGATAAAAAAGAGAAGGGGACAAAAAAATAAAATAAAAAATGAAGGGGTGGCTCACACTAAACAAGGCCTATTAGAAATGATCAAACTTCTGATTTTGCTCTCTCTAAATTGGGCATATATGCACATTCATTGCTCGGACATATGTCCATTATAAGGAACATAAGTTCCATCAGTATCTCAAACTGAATTTAAGCATTTCCTACTAGCCATCATGGCGCCTGCACAAGGTGCGGCCTAATGCTTTCTGCAGTAGTTTCACTAATGAATCCAAGCTCAACCAGCGTAAATTTTTTAAATTTGAACAAATGACAAATGTATTTTGTCACTAAGTGCTGTCATAATCAGTTTTAGTTTACTGGTGAATTCACAAAATACAACTATAATAGAAATGGTCCGAGTCTTTCAGTGAATGCCAAATAGTGTGTTCGGACTAAAACAGAAAGGTTACGACAAATTGATGAAGACCCTTCAAACATGACGACAGTGAAGGTGTATTTGTTTATGGCTAATGAAATTTGGATTCTCTGAGCTTCAGCAGTTAAAGATGAAAGAACTGTCCTTCCATCCTTTGCACGTGTGGATGGTGTGAATCAAATATAGGACGTAAATTTCCATCTATTTAACATTTCAACTACCTCAACTGTAAAATAATTAACAAAGGACTAAAAACAAAAAGAATGGCGCACTAAATGTCAGAAACCCTCTCTCTTGTTATTTTTATACTCTCTCTTCAATTCAACTTCTTCGTTTGGCTTCTCTGACTTTTCCTTCTTTATTTATTTGTGTAGTTTTTCTCCTTAATTACATTTTATTCTTTGTATTTCATATCTTTTTTTGTCCTTATTACTGCATTTGAATTTTGATCAATTCCGCCTTTATTTTTCATTCATATTTCTTGTTGGAGTTTTACACTGTTTTGTTTCATCATCATGCAATGATTTCCTTTGTTTTTTCCATTGTTTCCAAATTACAAGGAATACATAGCAACCCTTTCTTCCTCTTTTAAGCATGAATTGCAGTCTCAGGAGTTGTTGTAACGAACAACCTGGCAAGTCTCCAATCCCTTGAGGGAGCTAACTGTCTCCATTCCTTTTTTTCATTTTCTGCTTCATCCTTCTCAATACGTACACTTGACTTGTTTCCTTGAGCCAGGCTGGCAGCCTTTGATCATCAAACACAAAAAAAATTAAATAGACGTCCAGTTACATTGATTAAACATAAAATGGAGCTCTGATCTAATGTCAGGAGCTTCGGTATTGGACAAGAGATAGGGTTGGAATCATAATTATAGGTACAGATACAGGTTATGAGAATGGATAAGAAGTGCTGGTACTAGTACACAAGGTTTCAAGTTTCTTTCCCATAAAACGACAATTGAAAACAGGTTGCCTCATCAGATGCAAAATCAAGAAGGTTTCTGGCTAACTATGGTTGAGATCTAATTTTCCAAGCAAAGGAATTTGGTGTACAAAAATAAACCAATAATTTTTCTTTTGATTGGGAACAGAAAAAATAATATTAGAATAATGTTTGAAAACAAGGACTCAGGCCTTGACAAGTCTGGGTCCTGAGCTGAGATTAGGCACCTATTTGGCCGAGAGGTAGGTCCGACTCGACTGAATCTCTCAGTAGAAAACACAGGGGGGGCCAAAACTTGGTAACACTCACCCAAGTTTTGACCTTTTTCATCTGGACCCAGCAGCATGCCGGGGCCAAGTGACTCTAGCAAGTCCAAGTTGTTTTTCAACAAGGGAGACCTAAAGTAGATATCCATTACAGGTTTCTAACAAGTATGTATTCCTAATGAATTCTTAAACTCTTCAGCAGTGGTTCTGATGGCAAACTGAGGGCCTCCATGAGTAAGTACTCATGCTTATGCTGTAGACCCACGAAGTAACAGTAATGAAACAGTCTAAATTTGTTTGAACAGTCATTTGGTTGTGGGTAAGATAATCATCTTCCTCCTAATGCCTCACACGTCCTCTCTCTCTCTCTC